TTCATCCCACACCACTAGGGGACCACCTCCATCCTAGGTGCTCCCCATCCCTACCTGGGGATGCACAGACAAGCCCAAGCCCCTCTTGTCAGCCACGACAATGGTGATGATGGTCTTCAGCACGGTGGCAAAGAAGGTGTTGACCCCAAAGACCAGCGCGCAGAGCTCTTTGGAGAGGGAGGTAGCAATCTGGAAACTGGGATAGAGGGGGGAACCAGTGAGCCCCTGGGGCCAGCCCAGCTGCCAGGGTGGGAGCAGGTCCTCAGGGGTACCACGCACATGGCAATGGGCACCAGGAACTGGTAGGAGCCACGGAAGAGGACATAGGCTGTGTAGCACAGCCAGATGTTGCTGGTGGTGTTCATGAGCAGGAGCAGCCCCGCCTGGAAAGCCGTCACCACCCCGATCACCAGCTCTGACCACAGCGTCCAGCGGATCTTTACATAGCCAGCAGCGAAGGAGGCGCCAGCCCCTGGGGAGGGGATGAAGGATGTTGTGAACACCTCACCAGCATGGGACCTACCTTGTGACCCCCAGCCTAGTTATGCTCATCTCACCTAGTGATGCTCACCTCATCAGCACTGCCAAACCACCCCCTGCATCCCCAAAAACCTAAGGACTGCCGTTCCCAGGGGACATAGCGGGATGGGGGGTCCCCCCACATGCCCACTGTCCCCAGCCCAGGCAAGTGTACCCAGCAGCGTGGAGGCAGCATCCACCCCTCCATTGTACACCTGGCGGTTGTCTGTGGCGGGGTAGATCTCATTCCAGAGGATCTGCACGTAGTACAGCATCAGGTAGTAACCGGCTGAGTTGAAGATCCACCACAAGGACCAGAGCTGGAGCTGGGGTTGCCTGGCCAGCGTTCCCACTTCCCGCAGCATACGGCACAGAGCTGCCTCCCGCCAGCCCTGCTTCCCCCCGCCACCATCCCCCCCGGCCATGTTGTCCAGCTCAGCAGGTGCAGACCCATCCCCAGCCTCCTTGGGCCGGTTGAAGAAGAGGCTGCGCCGGGGCCGCTCAAGGAAGAGGGTGAGGACAAGGCCGAAGCTGACGAAGCCTAATGAGACATAGTTGAGAGTGAGGAAGGAGACGTCACCAAAGGTGACACAGAGCTGGCCCAGCACTGAGCTGGTGAAGACGCCCAGGAGGACAGAGGAGCGGGAGTAGCTGGCCATACGCTGGTAGCGGGACGGGGCGACGAGGGAGAAGATGTAGGAGGAGTAGGCGATGCGGGCAGCCATGGTGATCCCATAGAAGAACTCCATCAGCTGCATGGCCAAGATGGAGGTGCCCAACACCAGCAGCAGCCAGATGGAGACGTGGCTCAGGCTCTGCAGCACCAGCACTGGCTTGTAGCAGCACCAGCACTGGCTGTGAGCACAGGTAGCCCGGCAGCAGGAAGATGGGCACCAGCACAGCCATGTAGGAGTAGGTCAGCACCGGCATGATCACGTTGGTCACCTGCCATGTGTGCAAGGAGGGGCTAAGCATGGGACACATCCCTGAGGGATGTCCTTGGCCCAGAGGAGTGCCGTTCGGGTGGGCACCAGCTGCTGACCCCCATCGCAGCACCTCCTTAGGGAGGAATGTGGCCCACAGCATGCTCAGTGGGGGGCTTGGCTGAGCCCCAGCCCCCTCCCGTGCCGGAAATGCAGCATTCCCACGGATACAGCAGCCTGCTGGGACCAGAGCCAGCATCCTTTGGTCAGGGGACTATGACATGTGGCCCCTCCTCATCTAACCCCATCACTGCCAGCAGCTCAGCAGTGCCCAGTCCTGCGCCCCGCACTGTGCACCGCGCCAGCATGGGAGGGTCTCCCTGGTGGGATGGGACAGGCCTTCTCCCAGCCTAGCACCCCCCTGCCATCCCACTGGCTGCCCAGGCAGGCAGGGGTCAGGCATCTCCCCCTCAAAACTGGTTGCCAGCCTGGGCATGAGGTCTTATGCTGGGGAAAGTTGAGCCTGGGACTTCGGGGACAGGGTGACCTCGCAGCCCAGGTAGACAGGGACATGCTGCCAGCTGGACCCATACCACACCACTTTCTCCCCCCAAAAAAGCACCACCATGCGTCACCACACACCGCCTTGCCTGGGACATGGCACGCCTGTACCTCTCCATGCCCCAGGACCTCAGGAGGATGCTCTGCTCAGCCCCAGGGTGGTGATCATGTCTGGAAAGGGGGACACCGGGGGTACAGGCTGCCCGTGGCTCACCTCTGCCTGTGTGAAGTTCTTGTCAGCCCCCAGGAGATATGGGGTGATGAAGCTCTCCCCGGGACGGATCTGCGTCATGAAGCCATAGAAGCAGAGGTAGAAGACTTGTAGTTTCCAGTGCTGGTCTGGCACCGTCTCCGATGCTGGCTTTTTGGCATCATCATCCTTCTTGGGCATGGCTCTGCCAGCTCTGCAGCGGGACGGCAGTGTTATCCTGGGGACCGTCAGCTAGACAGGCTTTGCTGGGCCAGGCAGCCCCTCTCTGGCTGCAGGCACTTTCCAACACATCGAAAGCCACGTCGCTGCAGTTTCTGGGGAGAAAGCAGCATTTGGCACAGGCTCAAATTCCTCCATAATCGCAAGGCAAATAAATACCACTACCTTCTCCCCAGGAGATGTTCTTGCAAGAAGAAAAGCAGCTGCATGTTTTGCTGTTCAAAAGCTGGGGGGGCCCATTTTGGGCAGCATTTGTAAATCGCACATATAAAGAGCGTAGATGCACAGTGCCTGGCTCTGCAGCAGCACATCCTTGGCTCCCATCACCTCCTTTTTCTCCCTTTTAAGAGTCAGTGGGATTTTATCCCCTCCCCAAAGCAACACCTCCCTCTGAGCCCAGTTGCTCCACTGCAGATGTGGAGGCAGAGGGATGCAGATGCCCCGTGCCAGGGGTGCTCCTGAGGGAGACAGCAGCAGCTGCGGGGACCGTGCCAGTAGTGAAAGTGAGTTAATGTGCACACCGGGCACGGGGCTGCCCATGTTCTACATTAGCTAGGTGGCTGGCAGGATTTTAGCCAAGACACAGGCAAGCGGCTGCCCCTCGGCTCTCCCCCGCTGGGACACGATGCTCACGCAGCATCTCCCAGCCTGGGGAGAATGCAAAATGCCACGAGGTTCACAGTCCAGAGGGGGATTAAATGCTCAAATCCTGCAGTTTGGTCGCAGGAAAGCTGGCAGCACCAAGGAGGCCCGATTAGTGGTCACGGGATGAAGGCAAGGAAGGGAGAAGGCCTGGCCCAGGCATCCTCTCAGTGTTCCCCGCTCTCATAGCAAGTCACCGACGGCACTTTCAAGCCATAAAAATCTACGTGTGCCAATCCATGCCATGGGAACAAGGTCTAGAAACCCGATTACCCTGCTAATTGCAGAATGACTAATCACAGTCATTAAAAAGTAAGTCCATGGTTCCAGTCCGTGCCCCTCCACTGCCATCCTGCATGGTGAGACTTGGGGGCTCACCTCTGAAGACCCCCCCCAGATACTGCATGCAGCTAATGTGGAAATAAGCTGGTGCCAGTGCCAGCAGGGGAAGCTGGTCATGATCCAAACCAAAAGCAGCAGTGGGAAGCGGGGTGGCCATTCGCCCCAGCGAGGCCTCACCAGCCTTCCCATGCGATTTCAGCACTGGTGCCTGAGCATCACCAAAACGCACATGTCCTGGAGCTCACAGCTGGGCAAACAGCCCCTACCTTCCAAATAGGTCCCTGGGGAGCGGGGCAGGGATTCAGTGCTCACTTACTCCCACAGCTGATGCTGGCTTGGGTGCTGGATGGAGCACTGCAAGCCCCAGCGCTGTGCTGGGAAGGGCAAGGGGGCAAGGACTGGGGGCTAAACACCCCCCGAACACCTACCCCAGCACCGCACCATGCCATACCCACCCAGGGCCCCTGCCAACCACAGCTACCTGGACTATGCCCCATCTCCTGCTTGTCCCCAAGCTGGGCTGCGGATGTGAGCGATCGTCACCTCCAGCAGCCGCTCTCTGTGGGGCAGCCCCCCGCCATGTGCTCCAGGACCCCGATGGGCTGTTTTCCACCTTCAGCTCCAAACCCAATTGGGAAGCAGATGCTCCCCGTTTCCTTTCATGTCCATCTCAACTGCTCATCCCTGGCTCAAAGGAAACCATCCACGTTAAACCTGGGATACAGTTCTGTGCTGCTGTCCCAGTGCCACTGTCCCCAGGAGCACTGGCTCCTAACTCCTAGCATGTGTGTCCCCACACATGCAGGGACCCCAGCCCTGAACCCATCTGGCCAGACCCAGCTCCACCTTCCAGACCATGCATGGAGCTGCCACCACTCGAGGTGAGTGGGTGCAAGTCCCAAGGGATCCTCCCAGCTCAATGCTGTCACTTCTCTGCCCTGGTGCAAGCCAGGCAGAGAGAGGGAGCAGAGCACAGGCGGTTATCACTGTGTGAACCTAGTTATCGCCAGGTTATCCTGGTGTGACCTTGACACGGGATCATTATTGTGCTACGCAGTTGTCAACCTGTGGCCAGGGGTGATGCGGGTGGCTAAGCTCAGGCACCGCTCCCCCAGGGCACCCAAGCA